TGTGCTGATTATGGGGACCTCCAGCTTCTGCAGTGTATCAGAGATCTGGTGGGTCGCTGCAAAGAAAGACAGAGTAGAGAATACCATAAGTACAATGAGAGAATCCCATGAGATACAATGAGAGCATCAGTCAGTGGGACCAAGAGCCAGTAGGGTGTAGTGGTGAAGAGTGGTGGACTCTTATCCAGAGAACGGGGATTGATTCCCCTCTCCTCCTGCACAGGAAGCCAGCTGGGTGACTTTGGGCCAGTCCCAGTTCTCTCAGAGCTCTCTCAGCCCCATCTACCTCATAAAATGCCTGTGGTGGGGAGAGGAAGGGAAAGGCAATTGAGACTCCTTGGGGTATAGAAAAACGGGGTATAAAAACCAACTTTTCTTCTTCTTCTACGAGAGCCTGGGTTGATGCAGTGGTTAGCGCCTAGAGGGCTCAACTATTACATGCACTGATGTGGAAATTTGTATGTCTGCCCCAGCAGTTAGAACAGCAGTGCCCTAGAAGCCCCTTTCAGAGCAGGAAAATGTCTTGAGGGAGATAGCTCTAAATCCTCCTTCCCCTCACCGCAGGGGAAAAAAAGAAGAAGCCTTTTTGGTTCACAGAATTCCCAGCATCCCGTGTGATCGAACTCTTGGACTGGCAAAACATGGGTTCAGATCCCTGTTTAGCTGCCCAGCTTCCTGAACTGACCTTGAGTCAGCCACGGCATCTCAGTCTAGTATCACCTACATATCATGGTCGTTGTGAAGATTAAAGGGGGGAGCAGGCATGCTTCCCTAAGCTCCTTAGAGGGAGGAGGGAGGGCAATCCAAGTATGGCAGGGCTGGAATTATACAGGGGAAGTGGAGTGGCTGTTAATGGAACCTGTAAATCCCATCAATGCTAGGAACTGTAGTTTGGTGAGGTAACAGTAAAATCTAACCGAGTGCCCTAACTAGGGTTGCTGGGTCCCTTTGAGATGCTGGCTGTGGGATGGGGGGATGCTCCAGGAGCCGGAAGTGGCACCCCACAATGCGCCAGTGTTCCCTCTAAGTTGAGTTAGTGTGAGCTAGCTCACAGTTTTTTAGCCTCCGGCTCACACATTTTTGTCTTGGCTCAGGAAAGAGAGCTCCCAAGCAAGCTAATTTATGCAGTAGCCACATCGCTCGCTCACTACTTTAATGCCAGCAGCTCACAAAGAAGAATTTTTTTCTCACCAGACTCCACAGCTTAGAGGGAGCATTGCTCTTCACTACCCAAAGGAGTCTTGGAGCAGTTTACAATCTCCTTTCCCTTCCCCTCCCCAGAACAGACACCCTGTGAGGTAGATGGGGCTGAGAGAGCTCTTTCCAGGACTGCTCTTGAGAGAACAGCTGATAGAACTTGAGATTGACTCAAGGTCACACCAGCAGATGCAGGTGGAGGAGTGGGGAATCAAACCCAGCTCTCCCAGATTAGAGTCTGCACTCTTAACCACTACAGCAAACTGGCCCACTACACCAAAGTAGCTAGTTTGCCCTAATTCCTCCTTCCTGGACCTTCCATCTGCTCTCTGCTTCCGCAGTGCAGTGAAGCATCCAGAGTCTAAAGGTGCCATGCAAAAGTATGCTAGCACTGATGAGGTTTGAAAACAAAAGCAAATGTAGACAGCTTTTTTGAAGACGGAGTCAGAAGGCTGGGACACCGGTGGGAAAGAGAAATGCAGTTTCGACCTATGTCACTTCTGGGTGATGTAGACACGTTGCTCCACATTGTTGTCGAGGCGGAATTTCCTTCTGCCGGTCAGCTGGCCAGTGGTGGGGGCAGGAGCCCGCAAAACTGTGGGATCCCCTGCCCCCAAATGGTGACTGGCAACCCTAGCCCTAACCCCCCCCTCTATAAAATCACAAGAATTGGGAATATAAATTCAGGTGGGTAGCCATGTTGGTCTGAAGCAGAAGAACAGAGTCCAGTGGCACCTTTAAGACCAATGAAGTTTAATTCTGGCTATAAGCTTTCATGTGCATGCACACTTCTTCGGATACATTGGAACAGACTTCCTCACGCCTCACATACAGGTAGGGAGAAGGTCTCTGTGTGTGGGGGGGTTAGTTGCCAGGAAGGGCTAGTTAGAGAGTCAAGGTGCATAAGTAACTGGGCAATAAGTATAGCTGAGATTGGATTAAAGCAGTTAGTAAGACCTGTGAATAGGGCTGCGGTGGCTCAAGTGGTTAAGACACTGAACTGCAGGCTGTGGAAGGTTGGTAGTTCAGCAGTTCGACACCCGAGTGTGCCGCATGACGGAGTGAGCTCCCGTCTCTAGTTCCAGCTCCTGCCAAACTAGCAGTTCAAAAGCAAGAAATTGCAAGTAGATAAATAGGTACCACTTCAGTGGGAAGGTAACAGCGTTCCGTGCGCCTTGGTGTTTAGTCATGCCGGCCACATGACCACGGAAACGTCTTCGGACAGCGCTTGCTCTTCGGCTTTGAAACGGAGATGAGCACCGCAACCCTAGAGTCGGACTCGACTGGCTTTCGAGCAAGGGAACCTTTACCTTTACCTTAAGACCTGTGAATACCAGCAAATTAGCACACAAACACAAGAGCTAACAAACAGATGTGAGAACTAAGTCTGAGGCCAGTGAAGAATCCTCTCCTTTTTCAACAGAGTGTGACAAAAGAATGATTGTGTGTGTGTCTGTCAGCTTCCGTCTGCACTCACCTCTTCCTTCCTGATCACCCCAGCCAGTGACCCAACACTTGTGCCCCGGGGGGAAGTCAATGCTGGCATCCGGGATGCAGATGGGGATGATCCGGCGGGAGAAATTCACCGGCTGCTCCAGTTGCACTAAGGCGATGTCCCCGACCCTCAGATCTCCCTCGTACTTTGGATTGAGGATGATCTGCTTCACAGCAACGGTGATGGAATAAGGGCCGGGATGTGAGAGCTTTCGAGCCCCAAGCAACACGGAGAAATTGGAAGGTACACCGAACCTAAAGAGAGAGAGAGATAGAGAGAGAGAAGAGTTGTGGGTTTGCTGGCTGTAAAAGAATTGGCCCAATGGGACTTGAGTCCTGGCCTTTGACAAAGGGGGTTAAATGGCTGTAGATGTTAACAGCAAGGGGTGGAAATGGTCAGGAGAGATTCTGTTGATAGCTTTAAAATAAATTGGAGTCTTGTGGCATCTCAAAGAACAACAGATTTATTGCGGCTTTCATGGGCTAGATCCCATTTCATCAGATGCACGAGGTGAACCATTGGCCAGCAAATATATATTATTCCAGAGGGACTGCTTGCAGAGTCTTGTGGCATTTTAAAAATTAACACGTTTTTATTCTAGCTATAAGCATCTGTTGCAACGAACATGAAATTGAGCAAACTTCAGAGGACGGCGGAAGACAGGAAGGCCTGACGGGATCTGGTCCATGGGGTCGCGAAGAGTCAGACTCGACTGTGCGACTGAACAACAACAACAATAAGCATCTGTAGACTAGATTTTAGATAGATGTATACCCTTCAACATATATAGAAGGGGGGAATTTGTGAATAGTGGGCCTATAAGGCCATGAAATGGCACAAGTGTAATGTCCCAAAGCTAATGCCCCAATGCACCTGTTACTCTTTAAGGTGCCACGAGGTTTCTTTTCATCATTTTACAATTTTGCTTTCAAAACTAACCTCCTTCAGCCTTTCACACGGGGGCTGCAGTTGGGTTGCAAACTTTTTTTTCAGCTGCACTCATGAGAATGCAAGAATGCAGAAACACACAACCATATCTGTTCAGGTCCACATCCTACTTCCCTCTGAGAAGCCCACAGTCTTTCCCTTCTGTTGTCTTCCCCAGCAACTGGTATTTGGAGGTATACCGCTGCTGAACATGGATGCTGTATTTTGCTACTTTAATGGTCATTGATAGATGCAGCCTACATGCATTTGATTAGTTCAAAGCCGCCTATGTCAGTGGCCATCACCATATCTTGTGGCGATGAATTAGTTATGCGCTGTGTGAAGAAGTGCTGTCTGTCCCGAATCTGCCCGTAAATTTCATTGGGTGATCTACAACTATGGAAAACAAAGCTTTCTTTATTTCCTCCCCACCATGTATAACTTTATAAGCCTCCATCATGCCCTGTCCCAAATCCTCTTTTGTCTCAGCTGAAGAGTTCTCAAATGTTTTAGCATTTCCTCACGAGAAATGTTCTCTAGAGTTGAACACATGGAGCTGCCTTCTACTTAGACTGTCCTCCAAGGTCATGCTGACTTGCAGGAGTTCTACAGAATCTTGAGCACATCACAAAATGGAGATGCCAGGGATTGAACCTGGGACCTTCTGCGTGCCAAGCAAATTCTCTACCACTGAGCCACAGCCCCTCCTTGTACCATCAGCACCCCTACTCACGCTTTAAAGCAGTGCGACGCTGTGACGATCCACTGGTCTGTAATCAGGGACCCTCCGCAGTGGTGTTTCCCATTCATCTTGATGCTGACCTGCCACGGCCATTCTCCATCCTTGGAATCTTGTCCTCCCACGATCCGATTCATAGATCCCTGCTTGCCGCATGCTGAGGAAGAAATTATAATTTCTTTTAATGTATATTTTGCTTTTATGCACAAAGGCCCTTTATAATCTTATAAGGTAATAACCTCAGGAGGCTGATCGCTATTGCTGTTTTCCAGTGCTGGGCAGGCAGAGGTTCTGGACAATCTAGCCATTCTCTATGCCATCCTTTAGACTGGAAAATGTTACTGGGATCTTTCCCCTGATTAATAGCACTTCTAGTCTCTACAATAAAGAAACAAACAAGCGCTCACCTCTGGGGATCTCACTCGGCTTGACATCTGAAATGGCAAAAAACAGAGGGAAGAAATAAGAGTTGAACTGGTTGAAATACAAATGAAGAATAAATAAAATGGAAATGTAAGGCCCCGAAACACAAGCACCATCATAATGATACCTGAATCCAGAGTCATTCTCCTGTTGCTTTAGACATTTATAACGTGCTTATATCCCCAATAGGAACCTGAAGGGGCTTACAGTTTCATTCCATCTGCCTCCATATTATCCTCACAGCAACGATCCTGAGGTACGTGAGGTTCAGAGACTGTGAATGGCCCAGGGTTAGCCAGTGAGCTTCCATGGCAGAGGGGAGGATTCAGACCTGGATCTCCCAGATTCTAATCTGACATGATTTGATTTCACCCTGGCTGTGGTTGCAGGCTGTTCTGTTTCAGAATTCAGACTCTCTTCAACTCTTATTTACTTCTTTCTCTCACAGTTTTACTACATCCTTCCTACAAGGAGCTCAGAGTGGCATACGAGGTTCTCCTCACTTCCATTTTATCCTCATAATAACTCTATGAGGTAGGTTCGCTTGAGACAGTGACTGATCAAGTACACTTCATGGCAGGATGAGAATTGGAATCTAGGTCTTCTTGGTCATGGTTCGACACACCGATGATGACCCCCACACTGGCCTTCCTGCTTCTTCTTACCTGGCTCCTCCCCAATAGATCTCTTATTGCAGTTGCTTAGCAATCACCTCCCCCAATCCTGCCAGAATCCCACCATAAACCTAGAAGAAAATGTAGTGGTGGCAAATGGGACTCTTTATATCTCTTGTATGCCTGGTACCCCCAAGTAGGCAGGGCCAGCCCCAGCTTATTTTGCACCCTAGGCGAGGATCCCTTCTGGCGCCCCCCCCCATGTGCCCACCAATTTTCAAAAATAAATGCACTTTAGGAAGAATGAAAAACACAAATAATCAAGAAACTCCCAGAGTATGGGGCCGGGTTCAGTTTGGCGCCCCTAAGGGCCATCCTGCTCTAGGCGACCACCTAGTTCGCCTAGTGAGTGAGCCGGCCCTGCAAGTAGGCCATATCTTCTCCCACCCTCTGACCATATCTAACAATTGTGTCAGAAAGCATGGGATCAGTGGTTCCCATATGAGCTTGGATTTCCTTCAGAAGTTGTCCCCTTGGTCTCCAACCTGGAGTAACATGGGTGGCTGCTAGAGACAGGGCCTGCTTGGTAGTGGCTCCTTAATTCTTGAATACCTTCCCCACAGGTATCAGCCTTGACTGAGACTTGCAAGAACAGAAGACCACACAAGTAGCCTTCTTGCTTACTGGGGTCCATGTTCTATTATTCAACCACCTGACCAGCTGATCACAAGACAGTCGGGCAGTAGCAGTTTCATCCATCCTACCCTTTTCTCCAAAATCCTCTCCTTTGGGTGAGGCTGCTCCTCACGTTCGTGAAGAAAGAAACCTGCACCCTTCCACCACTCCAATGACTACCAACCACTGGTTCTTCAGATACTCCATGGTCGCACCTTTCTGCCCCCTGCTAGTGAGAAATATTTGCTTGTTCGTGACTTACCCATCACCACCTGCAGAAGCATCAGCAGAGCTAAGCCTGTAACCCTTCTGCTTGCGCTCCATGCTTGTATTTGATGTCTCATGTTGTTTCTGCTTTTGCTAAGGAAGCACCACCAGATGGGTTGTACCATCTAGGCAAACTAAGCTGTGAATACTTATATACATATATTTTATACACCACGCCCTGGAGGGCGTGTTTACACTGGGAATACTGCCACATCAGGGGAATGTTCCAAAACCTGTTGGGTAAATGTGGCTTGACGCTTCTCACTGCTGTTTCCTTCCTTCCGAGCTTCCCTGTTTCCTTGTTTCTAAGCCCATTGCACCCTGGTTTCCAGAATCCTTCCTTCCCAATCATCAGAATGCCTTCCACTTTCCACATCGCCTCCCCTTCCTGTTTGTTGTTGCAGCCCTTCTCAGATGTTACAATTGTGCATACAGGGAACCCACTGACGGCACACAGATCCTCCGGTCACCGTGTTTTGTGCAAAGTGCGTATTTAGAAGAAGAAGAGTAGTTTTTTGTACCCCACTTTTCTCTACCTTAAGGAGTCTTAAAGTGGCTTACAGTTGCCTTCCCTTCCTCTCCCCACAGCAGACACCTTGTGAGGCAGGTGGGGCTGAGAGAGCTCTGAGAGAACTGGGACTGGCCCAAGGTCACCCAGCAGGCTTCATGTGGAGGAGGAGGGGAGGGGAATCAAACCCGGTTCTCCAGATTACAGACACTGCACCACACTGGCGTTTATCATTAAGATTGCCAAGAGGCCTGGAGAAAAAGCATCCTGTCTCTTTAATAAAGCCACGGCCATTGGAGGGAAAACTCTATGACGCCAGCCGGGAGTCCCCCGCTGTGGCAGAACACCCGACTTGGCAACCCTATCTTATACATTTATGTAAATTTTTGTTTATGTGAATTTTATTGCATTTTATTGTTTTATTGTATTTTAACTGTTGTATGCCGCCTTGAGTTTGCCTGACAAGTTTGCCTGGGAAGGCGGGATATAAATTGAAAGTAATAAATAAATAAATACATAGCTAACTACCTGGATTTGTCCTGTACCTATTTGGCTTTCTTTCTTTGTTTGGATGCTGTAGTATTTTTCTGTTTAAATGTATGCTTTTGCTTTTTGTAAACAATGGCTGCTAATATAGCCGAAGATAATTCCTCCCCTGCCCTCAACTGGAGTTACTTGGTGGATTTTACAACTACAACCAAAGCCTAAAAACTGGCAGACACTTATCAAGGAGTAGGGAGAGGCTGCCTAGTAGAGAATATGTTTTTCCTTTCCTTTATAGTAGCAGAAAGGAGAGGAATATGATTTTGGGAAATACTGCCAGTTCTGTTAGCTTGATGGTGGAAGCAAAAAGTAGATCCTGTTTGTCAAAGGGAATGGGCAGGATAAACGAGAATGGTGAACTCCACATTGAGGTCTAGCAGCTTGAGACCTGGGCCAGCTGAATAAATTCCTCATGGTAAAAACAAAGGTCCACATGGGTCATTTTACCTTACATTCCCTCTGCGCTTTGGAGAATATCCCCATCTGCAAAGAACACTCTTCACACACTCCAGAGGTAACAAAGGATGGGGAAGGGAGGCTCAAAGAAAATGGGGTGGATCCTCTGAGCCCCGTACCCAGAATGATAACTGTGGCCTCTCCTCCACTATCCCAAGAAATATGAGGGAAAACGGGGGTTTTTATTCACCATTAATCTTCGTAGAATCCCTCTTGCTTTTTTTAGACGTACAGATGAACTTGAACACAAAGCAGGTGGCAATCTTCCTTTACAAAATTACAGTCCAAAATATTGTTTTATCCTTTCCCAGGCTCTGTTGCCTTGTGAGTACAGAGGACTAGAGACTTGTGGTATTTCTCCTTTTCCCTTTCTGTCACTTTATTTTGGGTTGTTGTTATGTGGTTAAAATGGAGGAGGGGAAAATTATTTGATAAGTTGCTTTGGGTCCCCAATGGAGAGAAGATACCAAATTAATAAATGATTTCGGTTTTCTTATGACACGTTTATAACAGTGCCACAAAAACCGGACACTCCTTAGCCTCTGCTTCAACTGCCTTCCATAATGAGTCCATTTCCTGGCCATGAAGGGACCACCTTCAGTTCACCATTAACAGGTTACACAAGTACATGGAAATTTTGCTGTGGGAACAGATTTAACAAATTGGGACGTGGCTGTACTTACCTATCTGGAAGATCCCTGAGCAAAATTTAGGGTGATTTCTCACTAGAGCTGCCTCGCGGCACAGCCGCCATTTGCTCCGACACAAGTATGTCAATTTCACACCCGAGGCTGCGGGGCTGCACTTTGACCCGCGGCTTCACCCGATTTCCTCCGCAGTTTCGTGATTCTGGTTTTTGAGGATCACGAAACTGCGGAGGAAATCGGGTGAAGCCGCGGGTCAAATGCAGCCCCGCGGCCTCGGGTGTGAAATTGACATACTTGTGTCGGGGCAAACGGCGGCTGTGCCGCGAGGCAGCTCTAGTGAGAAATCGCCCTTAGACTGGTGCAAACAACACTTTATTCCAGTTCATCTCTTTGGGCTAATCCCTCCAGTACATAAGAGAAGAGCAACTGGCTACTGCCTGACGTAATATTGATATTGCTAAATCTCAGGGTTGCAAAGTCACCAGAAAACATAGGATTGGATCCAACCAAGGAGGAGCGGATCCCCTTTGACCGCCCAAAAAGGTTCTCCTGGGGACCATGGGACCTGCAGAGACAAATGCCATGGGAGAGAGAGGCTGTAGTCAAGAGGGGAATTAGGTGAGATGGAGCCAGAAATTTGGCTGGATCCAACCCACAATGCTGAAAAGTGCAGTAACACACAACAAGAGCCCTCTGCACAGGGCACCTCTGCTCACTGACTTGAATGTGCAGAGTACAATTATGGGACTGTTGGGAAGATAAAAGAGGAGGCGACTGAGAACACTGGGGTCCCTGTCCTCTCTGGGCTCAATCCCCTAATCTTCAGTCTGGAGCAATCCTACCCTGCTATCCCCAACCAGTGGCCAAGGGGGACCTTGCAAACAATGCTCCCTCTAAGCTGCCGAGTCTTGTGAGCAGAAATTCTACTCTTTGAACTACTGGCATTAAAGTTGTGAGCGAGCGATTTGGCTGCTGCATAAGTTAGTTTGCTCTAGAGCCCTCCTTCCTCAGCTAAGACAAAAAATGTGTGAGCCAGAGGCTAGAAAACTGTGAGCTAGCTCACACTAACTCAGCTTAGAGGGAATACTGCTCGCAACCAATGTTCCCTCTAAGCTGAGTTAGTGTGAGCTAGCTCACCATTTTTTAGCCTCCAGCTCACACGTTTTTGTCTCAGCTCAGGAAGGATGGCTGTAGAGGAAACTAAGTTATGTAGTAGCCAAATCGCTTGCTCACAACTTTAATGCCAGTAGCTCACAAATTTTTGCTCACAAGACTCCACGGCTTAGAGGGAACATTGCTCGCAACCCTAATGGCCGGAGAGCATGCATGCTCTGCTGAGACATATTGCACCTCCAGGGGTCTCTGCAATATACCAGCTCCCTCTCCATCTTCTCACTAAACGTATTACATACCTGTTCTGCTTGGAAACAATTTTGCATTTTAACCCTCTATTTTTTAAAAAAGAACAGCCGAAACAACACGCACTGTCTTTTGTGAATCACTCAATTCCTTCTTTTCTACTGAAAGAAGAAAAGAAAAACACCCTGAATTCCAGCCAGGTGACTCAGTTGTGTCGAATGTTCCAGGTTACTCAGTCCTTTGACTATTCCACCTGTGCAACTGGCAAAGGGCCTGTGTGGCAAGATGTGTGGCTTAAGCTCTGGGTGTGTGGAAATACACTGCAAGAAAGACGTTCTTCTCGTGATTGTCCTCCGGGAAACAGATCACGGCTGATTCATTGAGAGAAGCATCTGTCTAGGCTGCGATGCAGGTACCCAGCTCTATGTAACCAGGCGAAAGGTGACCTTGTGACTGCCTGGCGGTGACTCAGCTCTCTAGAGCGAATGGAGAACGGGTTCACAAAAAGCTGCAGTGCCTCAAACAAGAGGCGTATGCTGTATCGGGGGTGTTGTGCATTCTGTGACGTCGAGCATGCGGTATTGAGCACACCGTTCTGTGGCCTGAGGAATCACTGCTTTCTTTTGTTTTGCTGCATTTTGGGGCAGGTTTCTAGACTGTAGGACTGAGATCGGGTTGGAAGAATGTGGGCAAGTCTGGGCGAGAGGCCATACCAGGGCAGGGTTGCAAGATCTGCACAGGATTTGCAAGCCTCATGGTTCAACAGCCTTCTTAGTCTCTTGTTCCAAGCTGCTCTTTGCATGGCAGAATAAACTATGGAAATGAAGCAAACACATGCTGTAAGGGGCAACATGGCCTTGATATCTGCTAGGGAATTTTAGAGGCCAAATGAATGCTCTTTCTGTAATAATATAAACATAGGTGTTGTTCATAGGTGAAACATAGGTGTTCCTAATGGTATGCGTGGCTAGGGTTGCCAAGTGGATCTTCGCCGGGAGCAGGGGGCTCCCGGCCGGCGTCTGGTGCGCACGCCGCACGCACGTCACCCGGAAGTGACAGGAAGACGCCAGGCATGCTGGGGGCGGGGCCATGGCCATTCCAGGGAAAACCATAGTTTTCCCCTTGGATGGCCGTGCCCCCGCCCCCAGCGTGCCTGGCATCCTCCCGTCACTTCCGGGTGATGCGCACATCGGGGCGGAGTTCCCCCCAAGGCCCGATCCGGCAGCGGCTTGGGATCCCTATGCGTGGCAGATAGAAGGGGGAAAGGATGTGTTGCACGTCAGTTTGGACACAGCCACCAACTAATAGGTGCTCCTGATATAAATGGAAAATTGTTCCTGATTGCAGCTTTGGAGAGGTGTTTTGAACCACGGAAGAGGCAAGAGGAGGAAAAGGTTAAACACCATCTTCCTTAGAAAGCTTTCCCTGAAATCAGCCACTTGGGAATGAAAATTAGCCTTTGATAAACACCCAAAGTCCAGCTATGGAATATAAATGGAAAATTGTTCCTGATTGCAGCTTTGGAGAGGTGTTTTGAACCACGGAAGAGGCAAGAGGAGGAAAAGGTTAAACACCATCTTCCTTAGAAAGCTTTCCC